GTTTTTCAGCAAGTGCAAGATCTACTTCATCCAAATTGACATTGGTGAATGAATCATCATCTTGAGACGTGAGACTCTCCCGTGTGGATTCGTCAGCGGTAGCCGAACACACCCTAACTGGGACGGCGTGCAGTGTGTGGACCAGGACTAGCATTGGTACACCAGATGCATCAAGGAGGCCATCCACATCCGCCTCAACCGACACAGCATCAACAGACACAGCGGCATCGACATCCCCGGCTTCTGGCTCCCCACCATCCGTCAACACAATCACCGCAGCAGCGGAGCACAACGGAGCCATGCTGAGGGCACGCCCATGGATTGGAGCGTGCGACCCCCGCTGAGGTCACCTGTACTCTGTCCGCAGTACACGGCAGGGGGCATGCGGAGGACGCGGTCCAGCGGTATATAGCGAACTCTGCAGCATCCAGACTTCAGTTGCCTGATGAAGGCTAGCAGCACCAGCAGCCGAAACGTTGCTACCAGCAACACGACATTGCGAGTCATCGATCACCTTTTACTCTATATTTGTAAGGGATTATTTACATATTTAAAACTTCGTAATAAATCACTTGATGATGTCATCATGACGTCATTATTTTAGTATCATCTTTGCCCCAAGGTCTTTCCTTGGTGTAACTATGATGACGATTGACTAACCAAAATGATGCCTCAAAAATGTGTACAAAGTCAATGGGCTTAAATAAATATTCAAAAATGAATAATAAAATTAGTGATGACATCATTATGACGTCATTGTTCTAGGACCATCTATGCTTAAGGGTTGTTCATTGACGTAAGTTTGATGAAGATCCAAGTTGCTGAGGGACCAAAGTTGTGGGTAGAAAAACGTGTACAAAACAAATGGGATTTGGGTCAGAAGAAGAAGAAACGAGAGCTTCTATGTCTGTTTGCAACTTAACATAGGGCTTTTTCGCTTTTGAATGAAAATGTCATCTTCGTGATTGCATATCTGCAAAGTTTCATCCCACTGGGACATGTACTTTTGGCTATATATAGCCTTAAAGGATACACCTTTCATATGACATGACTTGTCAACTGATAAAGTCATCATCCCATTAGGTCAATTTTCGTCTATCACACATCCCCTTCCAAAAATCTGCAAAGTTTCAACCCACTGGGACATGTACTTTTGCAGATATAGGGCTTTAAATGATGCCCCTTTCATGTCACGTGACTTGTCAACTGATAAAGTCATAATCCCATGAGGTCAGTTTTCGTCTATCACACATGCCCATCCAGATATCTGCAAAGTTTCAACCTGCTGGGACCTTTAGTTTAGGAGATATAGGGCTTGAAAGGATGCACATTTAATGTCACGTGACTTGTCTACTGATGGCATCATCAGCCCATGAAGTCAATATTTGTTGATCGCACATCCCTTATCAGCTATTTGCTAATTTTCAACACGCTGGGACATGTACTTTTAGAGATATGGGGCTTTAAAGGATGTACCTTTAATGTCATGTGACTTAATTATCAACTGATGTCATCATCCCATGAGGTCGATTTTCGTCTGTCACAAATTCCCTATCAGGAAACTGCAAAGTTTCAACCCGCTGGTACATATACTTCAAGAGATATAGGGCTTTAAATGATGCACCTTTAATGTCTTGTGACTTGTTTACTGATGACGTCATCATGCCATGAGGTTTTTTCGTCACACATCCCCTTCCAGATATCTGCCAGAAGGCCCACTACACTGTTTTCGTAATACACATACAAATTCAACTGACAACAGACTCCACAAACTTTAGACTTCCAGTTCAGTTTAATTTGTACGCGAAACAAAAATAAATATCTTTTTAATATCTGCTTGGAATAAGATGACTTTGATTGCGATCTCAGGTACAAACACAGTACCCTACTGATCGAAAATATCTTGACTATTCGCGAAGAATTTAGCGCGTATAATTATTCGCAAACAGGGCACTTTTCTTTAAAAATTACTTTTATGGGGAGTCCTTTTCCTTCATGAAGATAGCTACCAACTCGTGAATATTTAGCGGCCATCGATGGGGAGAGTTTTCAACCACAATTTCCGAAGCCCCGTTGGCGAAGATACATGAATGATCTGCGAAGACTTCGCGAACGATGCGCAATGCAAACGGCAGGCACACAACTACGGAACATAACAGAAATCACTAATAATGATTGTTCGGACGTGAAACTCACCAGGTCTTGAATTCCTGCAAAGTTTTGGATTTGATCGGTATGATTACAGATGTATGCCACAAACCAATAGGTCTACCGTTTTACAGAAGGCAAACATTTTATTTTATATGCTGCTTTTCGCTCGGGGCAGCAGACGATTCTGTTTTGGGTTTTTACCCCGACACCGTACCCATTGCCCCTCCGAAATTCTCCATTCTGGCGACCCCATCTACTTTCGTTTTGAAATGTTTCCTCCTCCCCAAACCTCCACTACGACACATTTTATAAAGTATTTTCAATGACAATTCAAACTTTCCAAAAGAATGATTTATTTGTCTATAAATGAGTTAACATCGCTGAATTTTACATGGAGTAATAGTGCTGGCATTGGCCATGGCCACATGTACATAACGACCGTTTCAATTGGTCTTCACACGGCACATAACAATTTTTGCTATTGGATGAATCTCTGTTAAAATTTCTGAGACATCCGCAAAGAAAGAGTATGGCGAGTTGGGTCGTAGAAACACTGCACCGGTGCTGGCTGCGGGACGTTAAAGCTGGCGACCCCAACTTAAATAGGCGAACAAGCGTTTCGCCGAAGTAGCTTATTTCGGTGGTATTTTACCTTTTTATACTTAAGGCGGGCCGACTCGATTGTCTTATCTGAGCAAGGACCCAGAAGTGTTGGGAGACTATGAGTTATTGGTTATTTACCCCATGTACAAAATATAAGTGGTGTAAGTTTTTACTAGTCAAGGATGAAGAAAACTTTCTTCTGATCTTACATTCTCAAATTTGGCCTATGAAACTATTTGGCCTGTTAGGCTAAACATTTTTGTTCATTTTTTTCTGCCAAATATTCTGCCAGTTGTTTTTATATATTTTTTTACTAACACTAAACCCCGCCAGACTCCTAAAACACAAGCAAGCTCTTTGAATATGACATTTTGAAAACCGTTTCAGTTATATTTTTAAAAATCTGTGCGGACGTGAAAATCGATGCGGGCGGCCGCTGTAGTATAGTGTAGACATTAATTTTATGAAACCAACCTTTCACAAGCCTTTGGGGCCATACACAGAGTATACAGTGTTAATATACGGTGGACTGGGCAAAAAAAATCCAAAATTAATTTACATCTCCCTGGCTCAAATCCATCTTTGAAAGAGAAACCAGCCTTGTCCATGTTTATACCTTGATTCTCACACTAAAAAATGTCTCTGGGCGGCTGATGCGGCAACATAAGAATAAAATCGGTCACTAAACGCAGGCTGCGCCGTGCCTCAGCTCAGCCTAGCCCGGGCCGCGGCTGCGCCAGCCAGCCAGGCGTTCCAGGCGCGGGGACAAGGCAGTCATGTTTTTGTTGGTTGCCGTTTGCATTGGCTCAACTCACGTGTAATGAAGGAAACCAGTCTAGAGAGACTGAATGGATTTGTTAGTGCACCGTAAGTACCGTTCACACCACAAACTGTGTGGTGAGTCTGTTCGTTTTCTTATTATAGAGTTGTACATGTATAATCCATGTTGTTTATTATTTCACTGGTCTTTTGGTTACTGGAAAAAAAACCTGCTGCATGGCCGACAGTAAGGTCCGTTAAATATAAATGTTTATGCACAAAAATCCTCCTCAGAAAGCACCAAACAATTTTTGTTTCGACCATGTCCAGTTCTTGGTGCAATGTTGCAAGACTGCACATTATAATTTTTTGTTAGCTTGTGAACAATAACATGGACTAGTCGAAACAAATCTCGTTGAAAATCCAACTAAACCAAACACCAGAAAAATCCAGGGTATATGGCGTATCTGCCTATTTCATACTTTTCAAATTGTCATTTCGTGTATGCTTCGCGAAGGAAAGTACACAATTTGTACTTTCCTTTTCGAATTATCTTTCTTGCTCTCCACGTGTGTACCTGTACACTCCCACAAGAAACAGGGTTGGAATGTAATGTTCGTGCTTTGTGCATAGCATTCGAAACACAACGTGACAGAAAAATGACCGAAAAATGGAGGTCATATTAAAGCTCGGCATTTTTGGCCTTGATAAAACACGGCCACCGACATGTTTTATATTAAAACAACCGTATGCAATGTATTTTCCTAATTCTTATAAGTGCCGAACTGCCATGCTGAGTGGTGTTTATTCTCTGCTTCAACAAAGAGGGTATTGTAACACGAAAATCAACATGGTGTCAAGATCACTATTAATGAAATCAACTTAACAAAATCAAAAAGTTTTTTACCATCATTTATTACATCAATATGGAGGTTGACCGATTTTGGTCGCTTGTAATTTACATTGTAAATAGGCATATTTAAAGAGCTTGCTTGTGCATGCTATTGGGCCCTGAACAGTGCTGATTTTACACTGTTTTCAATGGGGCTTGAATTAGTGGACTGGACCCTTGAGTAAAGGTTGAGTAAAGGTACAGTTGACCTCATGTGAATGTTTTATTGCAGTGAGGCAAATTTCCAGAATAATACAGGTATGAGCCATTAGTTTACGTATAATATTATGAATTTTCATGAAAAATTATGAATTTAGGGGACAAGCATTCTGAATTCTTGATACACAATGTCGGGAGGTCTGATATATTTTTCAGAAATGTGCAAGTACATACATAAACATGTATACTGTCCTTGTGTATTCTACATTTTCGAATTGAGTTCCTATGCAGTGGCTGTGGTAGTTCATTTTGATGGTGGTAGCCATGCAAAACTCCTTACATGTATGCTAAACTTCAGTTAAACAAGAAATAGAACACTTTCAGTTCTCTTACTGAAAACACCTACAAATTTATCTGTGTCTATTACATTGCTCAGGACCATTACTCTCACATGAAGGAGTCCAGTAGCAGCATTACCAATCTCCAGAATCAAGTTGATGAGGTTAAAGGTATTATGATCCAGAACATCGACAAGGTGCTGAGCAGAGGGGACAAACTGGAGGACCTCATGCAGAAAACAGAGGATCTGGAAGCAAGTGTGAGTGGAATTAACCTTGTAGTAGCCCCGAGTCAAATTTCTTTCATTGCCTTTTCATTTATTACTTAACATCAGCGGTGAAACGCATCACCAATTTCTTTTTAAATATAGCCCCTACTGCCATGCGTCCCTCTTTTATTTCTTTCCTGCATTGCTGATGGTCGCAGCGGTCACTTCACTACTCCGAGTTCCTGTGCTTCTTTCTGGGTGATTCCGGTTGTTAATTTTCATCCTTTTCTTCGTGTACGTCGTTGTGGTGAACCAGGTTGTTTGGCAGTAATATACTGCTAATATATTCTGGTGAGCTACAACGACGACCTTTCACTTCATATCTTTTTTTTTTTTTTGTTACCCAGGTGGTCTATTTATTTTCCTTTTGATATAAAAATTTGTTACCTTATTTCGCAAAAGAAGAAAACTGCATAAGAAAAAAACACACACAAAAAAGAGACTTTTTAATTTATTTTCTGAGGCGAAGTAGCCACCCAATTATTTTCAAAGGCTAAGTTAGCCGCTCTGTTTTTGAGACAAAGTAACCTAAAATTTAACACTTACAAAAACCTCATATGAGTCTTGAATGAAATACTTGTGTAGCTTTATACAGTGATGATGAATTTACATCTACAGGTACGTGTACATGAATTTAATGAAAATATCAAAATCCAAGTTGCATTTTCATGAAAATGTGCATCTACATATACATGCAATTTATGCATGTGGATTGAGTAGAAGTACATATGTTGCGTGTGGAAAGATCAACTAAAAGCCCAATCCGTCGCAAACTAAATAATTTAAGAGAAAAAAAACAACAAATACAGGACATTTTCAACAACCAGCAATTATCAAGGCAGTGAAGCGTGACTTGCATTAGAAGAACTGAAAGTGCAATAATTTTGATAATGAATCAACGTCAATCAACATGGGGAGATGAACAAGTAAATATAAATAATATGTATAATATAATACAAATTTATACAATCATACAATGAAGTACCAGCTGATATGCATTCAAAAGAAATTGCTCCGTGAACATAGGAAAACACAGGAGACCGGGTTGCTCTGTTGGCCAGTGGACGAGGACTGTAGCAAGGTGTGGTCCACATCCAATGAGGGTAACTTGACTATCCGCTGGTCCTGAGGGTGACGCAGTGCTACTTGGCTCGACAGTAAAATATACTCACGGTTGTTAGGTGTCATACCAGGTACAGTTCAGGGCAGTGGAGCAGTAGCCTTGAGCGCCAGCAAAATTCAAAGCTTGGGAAGAACAGCCACACCCAGCGGGTCTTGGACTTGGACATCAGTAGTAGCTGGCTCATTGGTGCTGTCAGTGTCTCACCTGCCCGCAGTGGTATGGTCAACAGAGAACCCGCCATGGCACTACGACTATTTACAAAAAAAAAGCAGTGCACTAACAATGAGGGTCTATTGTTATTGCACTGAGCTTCGTTCGTTAGATGTTCATAGTATGGCAGTATCTACCCAATTTATAGTGTCCTAGCACATTCCGTGTTCACTCATACAATGTACAAAGGGTCTTACAAAAAACCATTTTACAGGGCTTGGCCTAGAAGGATTAGGATGGCAGAATAAGGTTCAGGCTCCAGAGGGTCAAGCTTATAAACCCCACCAGCTGGCCTGACTTAGAAATTCTGGAATTCAAATCCTGACTGTAACACAATGTATATATTGACTTCTTCTACGTTGTCCTTGAACCTTCGAACCCAACCTCCCATTCGTTCTGAATGGTCTCAGCCCATTCCGCAACCTAAAAATACAGCACAGTACAAAATGGTTATATATGTGTATCTGCCTTTTTTGTTTTTTGTATAATTGGTCAAAAGTATACCTTCTTCTATTCAACCATCAGCTGCCATTTTTGTTTTCTACAAACATGCCAGAAAACATGTAAAACAGCATGGTAGGCACATACACAAATGAACAAATTCACCCTGTCGTGGTACAGTAGTTTTAGTACTGGATAAGACATGCGCAGTCACCTGTAGAACTCTTTACAACATAATTTTTCATTGATCAAAAGATTTTTCCTTGAATAATTTTAAAGTCAATTTGCGCAAAAGTATCTTCCCACCACTTTTTATATGTATTCAGTTTCTATCAGGGAAACTGGACAATTCTGTCAAAATTCTGACTTTTTGAGTTTCCAGGGTTTTTTAAATTGGCCAAAAGCTTAACGCATTTTACGGATCATGCATTAAGTGCAGGCAAATACATTGGGAACTCAAATGCAGCAGAAATGTACATGTACAGTGTGTGACATAATAGGTTCGTCAACTTGCAGTGCGGGGAATGTATCATAGGTCACTCGCTGTATATAGCTGAAAAGTCGAGTCAAAATCCACACAGTTTCTACTTTTTAATTCATTTTAATTCTTATTTGTTTCTAAATTAAGAAATATCTCATTGAACAAAAGTCAGCTTGTTACTATAGTTGTGGCTGAAAATGGATATTCCTGTTGTTACTTTTACCAATCCAGAACAAGGAAAAGTGTTTGCCTCACTTTTGTCATACATTTCAGTATCAATACAAGGTTTTTGTTTGTCTTTTGGAAGCTGCAATCTGACTGAATAATCTTCACAATCTGAAACTGGGAGAAAGACTGTACTTGTTAATATGATCCCTAACTGGGAGAAATACACGTTCAGCTTCCGGTCGGCAAATGTTCAACAAGTAAAAACAATAAAAGTCATTTCCATGCAGCATACATTATTTGCGAGAGCTTAATAAATGAAAATTTGAGTATAGAAACGTACTTGGAATCACACGTAGTGAATGACACGTAGTGATATTTTGGCTTCCATGTTTTTTAACAAACCGTCTTAATATGTCGAAGTGTGAGTCAAAAATCTGGCCGAAATTCCTCTACTGTAAATTTTTGGAAACCAATTTTGCACGAGAAGCTTTTCACATTTTATCTTTCAAAATAGCAAATTTTCGTCTGAAAATGTGATATACAAACCTACGAAAGGTACATGTAGCTGTTGTTAACAAGTGATCAGAAACAAAAAAAGTTCGGAACTTGAAAACTTGCTGTAGTTATTATTTTAGGCAGACTTTTTTTTCTAACTGCCATGAAGCTTGAAATTTACATGCTTTACCACACGCCAAATTCGTAGTTCCAAATCACATACACTTGATATCAAGTCAGCATTCTTTTCCTGGACAGTGCCCATGTGGCCAAAGGGGTGATCAGTTTTTTTAAATTTGAACAGACAACGGCATTTTGTTATTTGAGATTTGCAAGCAATTTAGAGATTTGGCCAACTTTTATTCAACACATTCGCACAAAGACTTCGATCAAATATGATCAAATGAAGGGCAAGTTAGGCCACCCGCAAACCACATCTTGTTGCGCGGTGGAGGCCTGGTGGAGCGTGCACTGCAACGGGCGTGCCCACCCAACAAAATCAGCGTTCCCATTTAGAGTTCTCTTCGATCAAGCACGAGTCTGACTACGATCAGTATCCAATCAAAATTCGTTTTGCTTGGCCATTTATACATTGTACATCATTTGCCTAATATGGAAGGTAAGGACATGGCTATCAGATATTAGGAAACATTAAATGTTTAGAAATTTAGAAAAGTCATTTCTAAATGTGAATATACATAAGCACAATCGGATGTAGTAAGAATTTAGAATTGTTATGCAGTGGACATGATGTATGTTGCATATTCTTGGTTGATTATTACTGAATTTTCACCACGTGCCTTTTACAATCATCACATAATGCGAGGCCATCGTAGGTTTACTGTACATGTATACATGAATATACTAAAGTATGTGTACATGTACACACCCGTGTATGTGCCAAGCGCTGGTGCGTCATAACTCGGTATCCATTTTTCTGAAATCGTTTTTTTCACCACGTTTTCATACGTGCATTCCGTGCGCTATCAATTACATGCCATATTGAAACCGAACATCAGAACCAAAACCAACCAGTTTATTTCGGTTTAAAAGTGCCACGTTCGATGATTTTTGGTTTGGTTCAGCGGTTCAGCTGCAATACTACTGAAACTACTTGGTCTGATCATGGCAGCTCAAAAAATTCTTTATTTCCAGAAAACCTGTGGTCAGTAGCAGGCCGAACCCTATGTAAGAGATACTACAGAATTATTTTCATAAGCTTTTGACTTAAAGACTCATAAACGGCGCCCGCAATCCTTTTCTATATACCGCTTGTAAATTTTGTGGTTTTAGGGGCTCCAGTGATTTTTGCAAATTATAAGTCAAAGTTTGATGTGCAATTCTTGCCCGAATTCAATTTCTAGATATTTTAATACAGATCTGGTTAACCTGTCAGAGACAGCTTCAATACTAAAACAAACTCAAAAATAAGCACCAGATTAATTTTTTAGCCAGAACCATCGGACCAAAATAATTTTCTTAGGAAGCATTTTTCAATGTAGAGAAAACAAGGTCAAAATTTCAACAAATTAAAAAGGAGACCTTTCGTGAATTTCAACTGCCAGCCGCACCACAGTATTGACCGACCCCTTGTAGTGCGAGTGCAGTTGATTTGAATTGCACGTGCTATCCACAACTCAGAAAAATACTGCTTCTTTCAGTCTTTGAAAATTAAATTGTCAGAGCTGGAGACACTGAATATTGTTTTTGATGCAAGAGTTAATGTTAATTTTTATTAAAAGTATTTGCAGTATGTGTATCATGCAGCCATTGACATATTGGCTTGTAAACTTTGTGGGTTTTTTGGCTCCCGTGATTTTTACCAATCATGTCAGAGTTTGATGTGCAATTGTTGCCCAAATTCAATTTCTAGATATACAAAAATGGTTAAGAAAGTAGTTCTAATCACCACCCCCCCCATAGATTTTTGGTGAATAACACAAGAAGGCCTTTGCATTTCAAGAAACCATTCATCACAGTTCAGGAAGTTAATAAGCATAATCTTCTGTTTACTGGCTCTCCTTTTCCCTCAAAGTTTGGTCGTGAATGCTCTTTGTTTGAAGTGGCCAGGGA